CACTTTTGTCCAGACTAAATTACATGGATTGCCTTGAAATTACATACAAACATTCATGGTCCCCATAGGATCAATCCCGCTGACTTTAATGTCGCTGACTTGCTGTCTAAGGGTCACCATGAGGTTTAAATTATGTTGATTGATTTCCATGAAATCTGGCTCAGATATTGACGCTCCCCTCAGGATGAAGTGTAATAACTTTGGTGATTTGCCTACCTTTTTTTGCCATCATCAGATAAAAATTTTAATTTGGTCATAATTAAATTAGTGGACAAATACCTGCAAAACTAACATCATCCCCATCAGCTTCAGTATTTTGAGTATAGTGCTAATTAGGAAATGTTAGTATGCCAGCATGCTAAACTAAGATGCTTAGCATGGACATTAGAATTGTTAAACATCATCATGTTCTCAAATTGTCACTGTCAATCACAGCCTCAAAGAGCTGCTAACATAGATGTACTCTCAGTCTTGGTCCAACATAAACCCAATTTTCTCCTGCCAACATCTTAGCAACTTGATTAGGGGCATTCTCATTAGCAAAATGCTTTGGTCTACAGCCGTCCAAGCACCTCAATTAAGAGGAAAAATGTAAATTGTGTAAAAGAAATTCTTGATACACGGCTGCACCTGAATAACCTGCAGCACATGTATCCACACCTTTCTTTGAGGTTGTGGAATACAAGATTAGACAGTTTGTGGCAGCCTGCTCACTTCTTCAGCTCCTTACTTTATACTGTCTCACAGATTTTATAGTCAGACCTTCTGAAGTTTTTTTCCTGTTCAGCTGCTGGGAAACAACCAGCATCTCTCACAGACTCACGGAGGTTAAAGCCTCAGTTTACAGGAACAAAATTGGTAAGGAACAGTCCATTGTGAGATACTCTGCAACTCCTACATCTCATCAGTCTGTGATGTTCAAAAAGCTGTAGCAATTTACTGCTTCAGCTTCCAGAATTCCTTTCCACAGCGGCCAGACATCGAGTGATAATTTGTTTCCAATCAAAGCTGAGCGTATGGGCATACAAGCAAGTTTAGGACGGCCAACTTGTTTGTGTATCATATCTAATGATGACGGCCTCATGCTTTATTCAGAGCACAACTTGCCCTGAGGCAACTGTGGATTTTGGTCTTTTTTCTGCTGGAAAAAATTGGTCTCTTTGTGATAGATTTCTCTCTGTGATTCTTGAGTGTAAGTGCAAAATTGTTACTAATCGACACAAGCTCTTGCTCTTTTACGATGATAAACATCTTGATGTTAGTGTTGATCTTTAAAAATTTGGTTTTCTGCTCTGTTTGGGGTTTCTGGTCTTGCTTTCCACTTTCCATCTATGTTTCGTCACTTATTTTTAAAGGTCCCATAGTCTACACTTTTCATGTGTTTTCTTTGAGAAGATATATGTGTGGTTATAAGCTCCAATAACCAACTTAATGTAGTTTTACATCTCCTCTCTCAAGCTTCTCTCTGGAGCGCTGAGCCTCTCTTCTGATTGTCTGATTGTATTTTGAGTGATCTTGTAAGAAAATACAGCAGATTTCAGGTAAACACTCAGAGGAACCAAATCCAGCAAGGCAAGGAGCATGACTGAGAGCAATGACTGTTTTGTTGTGACGTCACAAAGTTACAAAGTCCTAACAGCTCATTTTAAGGCTCAGTTTCTGAATACAGGCTGTGTGCATTTCTCTGTGGACCAAGCGCTTTGATACTTTCACTATCACTATAGAAGCTAGACCTGCTTTATAATCAGAAAAGACATGGAAATCTACATTTCTGCAATATGGACCCTTGAAAAATATAACAACAAACAACAACAATATTGTTCTAAAAATGCAAGATACATGGCCAAGTTACATTCAAAGCTGCACTAATAAATATTTTATATATCAAATTAAATTAAATGACTGTTTGTGTGAAACGTGAAGTGTTTTTGCATCTTTAGCTCATTGTTTTAGTTCTCCTGTTTTGGCTCACTCTCACCGCTCTCATCTGTGTTGCTTTTGGCAGCTATTTTCAGCGGAAAAAAAACACAAACCCCAGTAACCTCCAGATCACCATGAGAATCAGTAATGGGGATCAAACCTTTCAGTTACATTACAGTCTCTACAAACACTAGGCCGACCTGCCTTCATTCAACCACCTCCATGTAAGAAGCACGCCTTGACTATCAAACTGTTAATATCAAAAACGATTTAACGCACACTGATTGCACAGCCCTGCAGGTAGCTGTTTCACACCATGAGTACCTTGAATCTCAACACATAAACCCCAGCGATTCACTCCTCCGGCTAACAAGTCATCAGAGCACCATCTGCGGCTGTTAAAATATATATTTCTACTTTGTTGTCATTTTGTACCACCTCCTTAATGAACAGTGAACTCTCACCGGGGGGGGGGGCTCAGTGTGAAACCTGCAGCTGGGATCCCTCCACCTTTGCAGACTTAAGTTATTATGCTGTTGTGGTTTATGGTCCGTGCATGATGAGTGTGCTGCTGGGTCAGGTCGAGTGAGAAAAACAGAAACAGTAAGAGGCTGAGCAGCCGAGGCAAAGAAAGAAACCAAAACCAAAGTGGAAATATGAGAGTCACGGCAGAAAACACTGATTGTATCTCGTGCTTGACCAATAGAAAGCTGATACTTTGGGCCATTACATGCATTTAATTACATATTCAGTATTGATTAGTCCTGTTTTAGACCTCTGATATGATGGAGATTCCTCCCCGCCCACGACTGCATGACAACATGCATGTGAATTTTTTATTTCATTGCTCATTTTACACATTTCCTTTAAAGTTAGTCAATGCACCAGAGACTTTTGATTATTGTTGAATAGGTGTGGTGCTGCTTACCTTAAAACTATTTCAGAATTTCATCAGTCTGGGTTGCAGGGGAGACTTCTATTATCCATTAGTGGTCTAAATTCTGTTTCGTAGGCTTTTACAACCTGACAGAACTGAAACTTGGAAAAGCAAGTATCAGCATTGGTCTGAGCCTTCAAAAAACACACAAATTGGTCGAGCAAGAGTCGAAACAGCAGCAGAGATGAGGCAACAGGAGAATCAGAAAATAACCTGAAGAAGCATAGAGAAAGAAAAGAGCAGCAGGAGTATACAGACAGACATACGAAATGATGTGGTCATGAAACGGGGAGAAAACATGCAGGAGCGGGGGGACCTAAAGAAAGAGGAAGAATCGGCAAGACAGGGAGAGCGACACAGCAGCAGCTCTCTGATTGAGATACAGTAGGAGGGCAGAGATCCAGGTAGCAGATGCAAGGAGGACAGAAGCTAAAATGAAACGGCAGGAAGAGAAGACCGATAGAAAGGAGCAGCGAGCAGGAAGACCAAATCAGGGAGGAGAGGATGGGGAGTGAGCAGCAGATCTGAGTAAGAACCAGCAGGGAGGAGGAGAAGCAGCTGAAGGAGAGGCGCAGCAGGAGGAAATGAGCTTGCGAGGAGAAGCGTTCAATGGAGAAGCTGTAGATTTTTTTTTTTTTCAGAGAAAGAAGGAAAGAGAAAGGAAGGCTGAAAAACTACTGATCTGTTCAAAACTGCATTCCCCTCCCTGCATCACCTGGTTTCTCCATTCATCTCTCCAGCTGCAGAAGAAGCAATGTCTCTCTCACTCTTCTACCGTCTGACAGCTGACTGCCTGCCTTTCCATTAAACAGCAGCAGAACCAGCACACCTCAATAATTACTGAGCATGTTGCTTATCTGACATTTTCACAGCGATGTGTGTAAGACGGTCTGTCACAGAGAGGACTAGAGGGATGGGTGTGAAGAAGATTAAAACTCAGGGGAAGCCATAAGGGAGAAGGCATGGGATGATGATGATGTTGGTCGCATGGCAGAGGAACTCTGGCTATAAAAAAAGAGGGGGGTCCAAATAAAAACACAAAAGAGGTTAAATAAAAAAGAGGGAAAAAACAAAGGGAGGATCAGGTAGCAATATCAAGGGGTTGTGGAAGAGGAGAGTAAAACCAGCATGGATGGAGAACTTTTACAGCCATCTGCTTCAATTACATCTCCATTTCTCTCCTCCCTTCATCTTGATTCTCTCCATTTACCTGCTTGGATCTGTGTACCTCTCCTCCTCATGCCTGCACATTCATAGCTGACCTAAACGGCCTGTTAACACTGTGGTATACTGGCACAAAAAAACTCAATGGTTGAGATGAAAAAAAGACAATTTCTCCTTCATCTCCATCACAGAGGTCAAATAATCAAACCAGCAAATTCTCAATCCCTAACCCACCTCTCCAAGCTGCATACAATCCTTTTCTCTTTCTCACACACACACACACACCTTCACAGTCCTGCCTGCTCTCCTGAGTGTGTGAGCACAAACGTGGCTCAGTCCCAGGGCGCTCATCATGCTGGGCTGAGCACCCAATTAACCAGAAAACAAAGCCATAACGTTGTTTACACACAGTGGATGAACTGATTTCTTGCATGTTTGAGTGACAACGATTTTTTTTTCTTTGATAAAATGGGGGTCTGTCCTGGAGCAGAAGCATCCTCCTCTGTGCAAACATCCCCACGAGGGAATGGTCGTTTTAACCCTGGAAGTCAAGCAGCTAATTAACTGCGACAAAACCCAGTGAATTAAGGGAGGTCGGTTACTAAATTCCTTTGAACAGGCTACCTGCTTTCAAATATGTGCTATAGTGATGGACTGATTAATAAATAACAGGAAACAATCACCATTCATGTAAAACCACTTAAACTGCCCTTATTTCTCTTTTTACAGCCGAGCACCAGTGCGCAAACGAGATGCGCTATATCCCACACCCTTCACCGGAAAATAAATACCTGTACTTTATCCAACTTAACATAACAACTAAATGTGACAACTGAATGTCACTGCATCCAAGAAAGGTAAAGGGAGGGTGACAGAAGCAAGAATTTAAAGCTTCCTTTCCGGGTCTGGAGCTGCCCGGACTGGCTGCGTCTCCTCCAAGAAAAGTAAAAAAAAAAAGAAGCGCGCAAAGCCTGCTCACCTTCTCCGGTTGTCCCGTATGAGCTGGAGAGAACCAGGGCGACCTGAGCGATAATAATCCCAGCGACTCTTTTTTTAGTCCCCAGATCCATGATGAAGCGGCGGGAGGATGCAGAGAAGCCCAGTGGCTGCCGGAGGAGAGAGAGACGGCGGACCTCTCCTCTCCAGCTCCAAGAGAGATCTCCTCAAACCCCACAGACTGAAGGAGGAGAGAGAGAGAGAGAGAGAGAGAGAGAGAGAGAGAGAGAGAGAGAGAGAGAGAGAGAGAGAGAGAGAGAGAGAGAGAGAGAGAGAGAGAGAGAGAGAGAGAGAGAGAGAGAGAGAGAGAGAGAAAGACAGAGAGAGACAGAGAGAGACAGAGCGAGAGAGTTTTCAATTTCACACTTGCAGGATAAAAATGTAGTTTCACCACATGGCATAAATTCAGATCAAAAACTTCGACCCTTACTCTAATCTGAGTAGTATAGTTGGCACTGATTGGGAGGGTCTGACCCCATAAAGAGGTAAAAACGACAGGGGGGTCTACAGTGAGAGGGTAGAAACATTCATATATCCTTCTTAACTCTAACTACATATTACAATGAGAGTGCAAATTATACAATGACAGTCAGGGGGATCAACGAAAGGGGACCCAGAACAGCAGCAGGCAGGCGCTTCAGACAACTGAAAGCTGCCAAATAAATGTAGTGGAGTAGAGAGAACAGTATTTGTCTCACTACTCATGACTGAGCACCAGTGTTTGTTAAAATTAGATATGATATATATATATATATTGGCAATGAAATAACAAGGCTAGCAACAAATAAAATGGCTAGCAGTTAGCTAGTATGAGTTAGCTAACATTGGTTAGCTAAAACTGTAACTACAGCAAAAGTTTGAACATTAGCATTCATCCATACTTGACACAGTCTAATTCAGAAACTGATGATAAGAAAGTGCGCTATACCAGCTAGATAGTTATTTACTGCTACTTATATTTACCTAAATTTTCTCAAATTTATTTCTGTGACGTATTGGCGCAGGGACTTCAGGACGGAGCACGGATGGCGTGAGGCACTTAGACGAGACCTGTAACTTGTTAGTTAAGAAGTGGTACGGTCCACTTTAGGGGTATCTGAAATTACAAAATTCTTCCAGAAATGAATATGGTAAATATATTGTAATATTTACATATACAGGTAAATATGCTATATCAGTGTTTCAAATCCCCCCAAACTGTTGTTTTTACCTCTTTTTTTAATCAAACCCTGGTTTTGGGTACTTATAGCTGTGATTGAGCAACTTCTTGTGCATGCAACGCCACTGTCACTGGCAATTGTATCTAAAGCACAGTATAAATACTATAATTTATTCAGCATCTGAAATATAAAATGTATTTAAAATGGGGTTCATTAACTACTGTTATCAAACCACTCCAAATATGCAGCAGTTTTTCTTTTTCTCCCTCATTCCGTCGAACCATGAATGTCTGTACAACATTTTGTGCCAGTCCATCTGTTATATGTTGAGATATTTCACTGGGCAATTGAAAACTGACCTGCTGGTGCAAGATGGAAATTCAGGGGATAATCAAAGTCATTAGGATTCATCCTCTGGGCGCAATCAATGAACTTTCATGGCAATCCATCCAATATTTGTCAAGATATGTCAGTCTGGACCAAAGTGGTGCACCATCAAACTGTGGCTAAGTGCAAAATTTAGTCACTGAAGGAGGATATGCATTCAGTAATGATTCATTCCACATTTTTAGTGACTCTTACTCATCTTTAACGCCTCCTTGAAAGTCAAATAGGCACAAAGAGAGCTGGTTGATTTCTAACTTTGCGGACAAACAGCAAGGGGAAGACCATGATTAGTGTTCAAGTCCATCAAAATAATGAAAATGCAAGAAACATTTGGGGAATAAATCAGTGCCTTGTATATTGGTAAAGAGTTGTGCAACTAACTTGATGGACACAGGTAACATGAAAATTGACCATATCCAGCAGAGACTCCTGAAAGGAACAAGATAGGAAGTGGATTTAGTGCAGAGCAGATTTGAGTGACTGTAAAACCTAATTGTTTTTTAACAGGTAGCAGAGGAATTAGGCTACATAACTATATTAGCCCAGGGGTTTCAAAAATAATATGCAGTACAGAATGTAAGCTATGAACCGAAATAAATGAGCGACCGACAAAACCATGTACAGTAGAGTGAAAGATGACAAACAGACAAACAAGAGTAGATGTGAGTGGCAGTCAGATCATATAGACAGGAAATAACACAAAGCCAGACCAAATGTGAGTAGACTTTCATGATCATATCCAGGTCATGAGAAAGTTTGCGTGGTTGGTTATTGTGTAGGATGTTAGATTAATGAGAAGAAATCAGAATAAAATAAAAATCAATTCCCCCGGAAACTGGGCATTGACATATAGACAATTATTCAAAATGAAAGCATTGTAGGTGTAGTTGTGATAAGGAAGAGGTGTTAATAGAGCCTAATGCAAAATTATTCTCTACTCTTGTCTCTCGTGACTTCTGATCTTCAAGCCCCATCAAGATGTTACTTTTCCAGACTAAGAACATGGAGGATGAATTAACTGCTGCTGTTGTTTGGCCAAAGATTTGGTTGTAAGTTAAATCTTGGCAACACCAATCTTGCTGGCTTGGGGAAATATTTATTTATTTATTAACATTAACATAACATTGTTATTCATGCTGATGACAATAATGCTAATATCTACTAATTGATATGTCATCTGAAGTCCAAGTGGGTGCTATAAGTTTGCAGTTTACACATAAAGTTAGAAAAGTGTCTGTGGTTGGCTTAAATTGGTTTGTTTCCAATGACGAGGAGCTTTCACTGTGGATAAAAGATATCAAAACATCTAAGGAGACCTCTCTTTGCTGTCTGTCTGTCTGTATTTTCAGTACAGTTTCACCTGTATACAGTTCCAGCGCAGCTACAGAGTTTTGAAAAAAAGAACAGTAGCATCTCAACAATGCCATGAATGAAACTTCTCACCACTGGAATCCATTTTAACCACTGTGAGTTTACACCTCCTGCAGCTTGTGTCGTCATTTTGCGAATGCAACCCTGCAGGAGGTGAGCGTTTGATACTCAAAATATAGACTTTGGTAGTGTTTGGCAGCAATTCTTAGACTCCACACTTAAAGTAACTACGAACATTGTAAAAAGGGTAACACTTCAAACAAAAACAATTTTCTTTCCTTTGGTAAATTGCAGAGTGTAAGAGCTGTAATGCACCTCCATTGTAAAAAATAATGGACTCTATTGGCTTCCATCAGGTCTGATTTTCTTCCGTGGGAACACCTTTTCTCAGAATTAACTTGAGTACTCACACTCACATTCAATACTCGCTGGTATAACCAATATGTTTTATTGATTGAAATATGTTAAAATTGTCTGTATGTGAGCAGCCACCTCGCAGAGTTGTACATTTATTCCAAACTAAATTAGAGTTGCATTTGCCTGCATTAGGAGAAATGCAAGTTGAGATTGAAGAAAAAAAATGGCACGCAAAATACTCCCCCATTTTTTTTCATGCAGCTCACGCAGCTGGGCCTGAACACTGAGTGAATAGAATGGCTCTGTGTTAGCTCAGATGCACACCCCTTTCAGTGGACTAGAGGGATAACTGTGAGCTCACATGGGAGAGGAGGTCTTGGTGGCTTTCAGATGGGTCTGTAGGGAAAAGGCCTGGAAACAGAAAGGAGAGGGGGACGTGTGCGGAGAGAGTCAGTGGGTGGAATCTGATAATGAAAACCTACTGAGAGTATAGACAGCAGGGGAATTGGATGATAAAAATTTTTTAAAAAAGCCTGTTGACAACAAACGCTGCAGGGGAATCCGATAACACTGAGGCCAGAGCCTGCGAGAAACAAGGGATCACACTTACACACATACTCAACATGAGCGTCACACACCTCGCTGGCCTGTGGACACACCGCACACAGAGAAACCAGCTGGCTCTTCCATGTTCAAATCAGATGGGTGAGAGATTAAAACTACTAACCTGAGACACGCTGCAGTCCATTTAATGGTCGCAAAGGAGATTGTTCTGTAATTCCCCAGCTTCCTCTTCCTTTAACAAAATCCTCCAGATGAGTAAAACGCTTCATGGTGGAGAGAAGACACAATGTCACTTTTTGTTAACTGGCTTTTGCACCCTCTTTGTTGGGAAAATCATTTCACCATCTCCAGCTTCTCCTTGTGTGAAAAAGCAGATTGATGCTATTTCTGTTTTGTTGAGAAAGGATTAGTCGCTACTACATCTGACAGGTTTGATAAAAATCACTTGGCAGTCGTGACCAAAACTGGACCATAATGGGAACACGGGGAAAAGCAATTTTGTTTTCATTTCAAAGAGATATTTCCTTCCTTTCTTAGCAGAGTAAGCTGTGCTTTCACAGAAATGTGTGTGAAGGCTTCCGGTCACGATGCCATTTTAGAGTTTTTGTCCCCATCAGGCCTTGGAGTGAAGACATTATTAATGACTTGTCAGTAGGACGACTTTGCTCCTCCAAAACTGAGGCTACCATTTTTGACAGGAAAAAAGGCACATTATGAGTTGTTTCCCCAGTGAAGGAAAGTTTCATTTTCTTGTGGTCCTGTTCAAAATGCATGAACTTGACAGGTATAGATCAACAACCCCAGTCTCGCTTGAGCATTGAGGGAACAGAGCCTGGAAGGGAAGATCTGATTTACAAAGGGTCGGTTAAGGTCGTAAGCTTCGAGAGGTTACTGAAAAGATAAAATCACAGATAGAAGCAAGTGAAATACATTTCTTTCAGAGTGTCTGGGCCCATCTGTAGGGAGAGGGTGGGGAGCTTGAATATCAGGAAAGAGTCAAGTCATGTCTCCTTGCAACTCCGCATCCTATGAATTGTAGTGATATGATAACTTGGCAGGAAATTTTGGGAGGACATGTAGTTGTCTTGCAGATTATGTTTACTGGTACTGATGATGTCACAGCGGGAAAGGCACTGTTAATAAATGAATGATGGATCGATTCCATTTAGCTGCTTCAGTTTTCAGGTCCTTGTATTCCTTTGTTAATGCTATAAGTAACACCTTTGCTGTTCTTA